TCCTTTTTCAATATTACAAAAGCGGTACATCATAACACTATAAAAGCCTCATATGTGCCGTCTTGTCTTCATCGTTCACGTCTCTCGATGAGTGGTACACAATCTGTACAAGTGATACGGGTTATGTCCAATTTTCAAACACCTACTATACTCACGAGACTTGCGCATCTTTTCGGCTGATTGTTTCCCTTTTTTTTTGTGGACGTCTACTTCCTTTTCGTGTCAACGGTCGTATCACCTTGCTAGTTGGAACATAAAGAATATCTACATTTTCTTCAATGTTCCCCACATAACTCCATGCCCATTTGCCTTTTTCAGTCTTTTTAAACTCAACAAAATAGCATACCCGTACCCATATCATTTTTATAGAATCCATAGTTGCAAATAAAATAAAAAAGTTAAATAGTTTACTCAAGTATATATCAAAGTAATATGAAAATAGCTATCACATTTAAATTATCAAAGTAACCACATTGTATTATCAAGAACGGACAGACCATAACAGAAAATGTTTGTATTGTCATTTTACATGGAAGATAACGATTATAGTGTCGTTCTACACTACGTAAAACGGCTAGAGTGTCGTTATGTACTACAGTTCGTCCAACAGTTGCGAACAGTACAGAAATACACCAACTGTGATAAAAAAAACAGCTAAAATATCATTTCATACTATATTTAACAATAAAATGACCAATGTACATGAGATTTTCAAATATACCTTTCTTTTTTCTTCAAATATTATAGAGGTTTCAAAATAGATAATGTAGAAACCAAATTTCTTGTTCAAATGCTCAAAAAGTTGAAGAAGATAGGTGATTAATATAATGAATAACAAGAATTTGGGGATAGCAAGCACGGTAGACGGAGATCACGTTGATACGATTGGAGATGAATTGGGGAATTTAATTGGGTTGAAAGGGTATTTGAGTCTTTTCATGATAAGGATATTTTAGACATTTTATACCTTTTATTTATTGTATTTTTTGACCTATAAACATTGAGAATGGGTTTTTTTTCCAACAACTTTGTTTGACTGGGTGTTTTAACAAAGAGTCCCAATAAATTTTGTGCATCGTGCCTTTTCTTTTATCTTTTTCCCTGTAGATGTAGGTGCTTTCCCATTTTGTTTAATTGGAGCCTTTCCAATAATTGTTGCTGCGGATACTGCTGCTTATGCAGTATAAAATTCACATTGGGATGGGTGGTGGGGAAGGGGGCGCGATAATCTGGACACAGAAAACATTATTCACATTGGAGTACTTGTAGCATGTTAAGCAGAAATCGTGCCGAATATTCTGTGAATTCCTTTATTTGTGATACATTAGCAAATGTAAATGGAACCACAGACTGTCGTGGTCTAGTTGAATCACTTGTAACTATAGAGATTTAAAGCCTATGTGCCGGTTGTTGGGTTAAGGCAGGATGGAGAGGGGTTTGAAGCCCCTTTTTGGGATTGAAAAGTGGCAATCAAGCCAAGGAATGAGGAGATTCGTCGATCTTCAATTTTACTATTACACAGTTCATTATCTCTCCCACGCGTGCAATACCCGATGGTTGATATGTACTCGGAAAATTACTTCATTTACATTTTAGTTGTTGAGCTACCTGTTGTCCCATCAGATCAAATAATGCCAAGTGGTATATAACATGTAAACAAGATCTGGTTGACACATGGACATGACTGTATTTACTGGTAAACTTACCATGAAGAATTGAAGTTGAGGAGTTTCACATAAGAAAGTACTGACATCTCTGTTAGAAAAACTATGATCTTCATTTCACGATTTTACCTTCCTTGAGGGTTTCCTTGGTTTTTGTTAAGTGATTTTCAATGTCGTTTCTATGTCCGGCGAATGTCAACTGGTATAACCTCTTCAATCTTCATCTTTGTCATTATACATATTTGGATGTTGCTTTTGTCTCTTAAAATTTACCATTATCTTGTAACTTGTGTTTCTTTGTCTAATTTAATCAAGTGTTAAGTGCCTAATTGTTTCTTATTATATTCACCTTCAGTTTCTAACTTTATGTCATATTTTCTGATGCAAATGCTGGAGTTGTTCCCAACTAATGTTATCTCTGTGCATTGTTCTGTTTTTGGCATGAGTGTGAGTAATTGAATACATTCATAATACTTTGTCCGTGCATTGTCTATTAAAATCAGGCAAATCACAGGATGACAACAACAATGCAACGACGCATATATGGTCATGCTACCGATGTTGAAATTCGACCTTTGAATGAAGAGAAAGCTGTTCAGGCTGCTGTGGACCTGCTAGGGGAACTATTCGTTTTCTCAGTAGCATTTCTTTCCATCTTTAATTTTCTTTGTATGTTTGAATAGCTATCTCTTTTTGGGTGACTGTTTGAACTAGGTTTTACACATGAGAATTTACTCTCTAAGGAACAAAATAAATTGATGGTAGCTCAATACGTGTATGAAAAAAGATGTGCCCTATTTTATCTTGATGAAAGACGAGACCTACTTTCTTCGAGTGCGTCTGTATGATTCCTTTATAGGGAAGTCAAGGTATTGCCTGATATCCAGCTGCATAAAATAATGACTACTGGAAACAGCGAAGCCAGACTGCCAGAGTATGCATCTTATGTTCTGTAGGATGTTCCTGGGTTTACAGTTCTGCCATGGCAAGAGGACTTCTGTTATAACTCTTGAAGTTCCTGGCTACTGATGTCTTTTTTTCATTGAATTCGTGCTTTATTTAATTCCCCGATCTGCATAAATTATGATGTAGAATAGGTAGAAGAGGCAGGAAAGAAGAAGCCGGGAGAAGAGAAAGAAGCGTGAAAGAGGAGAAAAGAGGAAAACATAATCGCCAATCAAAATTTTATTCAATCATCAATTGAAGTCAACTACAATGAAAACCCAATAAATAGCAGAAAATAACATAATTTTAAGGGCTTGGGCCAACCCGTTACTACAAGCCCAATAATACGAAAACACAAATAGTAAAGTCCAAGAACAATAAAAATAAAATAAATCTCGATGATGTCTTAATGATGTCCGCATCAACTCTCTCGGGGTGGAAGAAAATTGACCTTGTCGAGTGGATAGGTAGAAAAAGGCTGCAATCAATCGCCCAACCATAAACTCATGGGTTGGACGAACTTCTTCCGACGTTGATAAAAGCGTGTTAGCGGTGGTCGGAATTTGGTGTCTCCACCAACGTCCCCTGGATGCGTGGAAGGAGAACTGGGCAAATCCTGCTGACTTCGATAGAGCTCCAATAAGTCTGGGTCAAGCTGCTGTAGTCTCTCTAGTAATCCATGTGCAATCAAACTCAGGCCGATCAACCCAACGAACAAGGAAGCATTGAATATCCCCACCTTTAGTCAACACAATATGCTCTTCTAAATAACATCAATTTTATCTTTGTGTGCTGGAAAATGTGGCATTAGATTAGAAGTAACAAGAGATTCCGGGTCAAGGTCCACAGATGGAGGTAGTAAATGATCATCGGAGGGATTGAAATGGTCTTTATAAGCAACTAAATCCTCAACATTGAAGGTATGGTGGTAGCCAAGTTGTGGCGGAAGGTCAAGAACATAAGCATTTGGGCCAACTTGCTTTAAAATTTTAAAAGGACCAACACTACGAGCTTGTAATTTAGAGGCGGGTCCATGTAGGCGTTGCTCTGGTCGAATTCGGATCATGACATAATCCTCAATATTAAAGTCAACATGTCTTTTATATAAATTAGCTCGAGTTTTTAAGATGCGTTACTAGCTTCAAGTTATTTATTGATCTCAATATGCAAGTCATGATGATGATGTGCAAATGTTTCAGCTGAATAGACACTCTATCATGTGGGGACATTGAGATGAGACCTAAATGCTTCCTAGGTTTAAAACCATGAACAACTTCAAATAGTCTCATACCAAACGACCGATTCAAGGAACCGTTATATGCAATTTGAGCTTTGTGAAGAATTAAATCCCAATTTCTAAGATTTTCTTGGACTAGACACCTTAATAAATTACGAACACTACGATTAACCACTTCTGTTTGATTGTTAGTCTGCGGGTGATAGGCACTAGAAAATTTCAATTTTGTACCGACCTTGTGCCACAACAATCTCCAAAAGTGACTAGTGAACCGCACATCCCTGTCTGACACAATGGTTTTGGGGAGGCCATACAATTTAACAATTTCATTAAAGTATAAGGTGGCAACCCTGGATGCATTTGAGGTTTTGCTACAAGGGATAAATTGAGCCATTTTCGAGAACCGATCCACTACCACAAAAATAGAATCATGTTTCTTCGGGATACGTGGAAGCCCTAATACGAAGTCCATACTCACATCTTGCCTAAGACAATCAGGAACGGGAAGAGGTGTATATAGGCCCGTGTTTTGCCGCCTTTGCTTGGCCAATTGACAGGTGTTACAAGTACTAACTATTTTGGCAACATCTTTCTTTAACCTAGGCCAATTGACAGGCGCTACAGTACTAACTATCATTGCTCGCATAAAAGTGCTTGGGGCGTTGGTTAGGCCGAAAGGCATGACTAACCACTCATAAAGACCGTCTTTTGTTTTAAAAGCTGTCTTCCACTCATCATCTGGGCAGATCCTAATCTGGTGATACCCACTCTTCAAGTCAATTTTTGAAAATATCGTAGCACCAACAATCATATCCAACATGTCGTCGAGCCTAGGAATGGGAAAGTGATACTTGACAGTGATCCTATTGATGGCACGACTATCTACGCATATCCTCCAAGAGCCATCTTTCTTAAACGTCAACCGTGCAGGAACTGCACAAGGACTTAAACTCTCACGGATGAATCCTTTCTGAAGGAGTTCATCCACTTGCCTCTTTTGTTCAGCGTGCTCAGTAGGATTCATCCTATAATGAAGCAAGTTTGGAAGCGACGTCCTGGGATCAAATCTATGGTGTGTTGGATGTCCCGTAAAGGAGGTAGTTCATTAGGTAAGTCCTCGGGGAACACATCCTGGAACTCTTGAATGATCACCTAGGCTTCAGGAGTGGCTATGGATAGGAAACTCAATGGGACCTCCAAGACAACCAAGGCAAAAACAACCGAATCACCCACAAGTGTGCACTCGAACTCCGTAGGACTAATGATGTGTAA